TAGGCAAGCCACAGAGCTAATGTTTTCCCAGGAGAAGCAGACCTCGGGGCCTGGCAGCTCCCCTCGCCTATATGGAGAGGAGCAGCCAGGCCTGGACGAGCCCCGTCACAGTCCACTTGCACTCAGGACCTGAGGGCCCTCCTAGCATGGTGTCCTCTGGGCTTGTCCCTTCCAAACATCCCCACAGACCCAGCTCCCTGAAGAAAGCAGAAGGGCAGCATGTGCTCCAGGCCGTTCCAGAAAGAAGGAAGGGGATGTGCCAGTCTGCGGCAGAATCACGAGGCACTCTTCCTCCCCGGGCCTTCGTTCCCAAAGTCGGCTTTCCTGGGTGGGCTTCGCTGAAAACCAGCGTTTAAGAGGGCGGAGGGCAGGGCAGACTCCTGGCACAGAGAGGTGACCCTCCTCTTTACTCCCTCCTCCCCCTTGCCGGGTCTCCCCTCAACACCCTGCCCCTAAACACCATCAGCATGTCCTGCTGCTGTGGGCTGCCCAAACCTACATGCACCCCCCACAAGATTCCTGTCTGAGAATAACTCTGATTCCCAATTGCTGGCTGAATTGGGGGAGGAGGAGGGAGAGGAAGAATGAAATGGTAGAAAGACAAGGAATATCTTCTGTTTACTTTATGAGCAATGATACTCCCTAACATCCTGCCCCATTAATTTTGCTGTTAATATTTACTATTCTGTTAAGGGATTAATGAGCTCTAAGTCACCGTAAGTGCTTAGTCTGGTGCCTGACACATAGTAAGTGCTGTGTAAACAGTGGCTATTGTTGGTTCCCTCGTTCTCCTTTTCTTCCCGGGGCTTCCCCTCAGCTCTTCCAGCCCCAGCCCTTCTCTGGACAGACCTCGTTGAATCAGAGGGTCTGACCTGGAAGCTGGCAGAGGCTGGGGAGCTGGGTCACTGGGGTCACACAGGTGACCATTCCTGGCACTGGTTCAGTCGTCAGAGCCTTCATGGCCTGTGCTGCTCGAGGTGTGCCCCAAGGACCGTGTGCCTGCCGGATTTGGCCGCCTGGCCTGTGAAGCCCTGTGTGGTGGGCCAGGCAGGAGTCTCTTCTGGTGGGTAGGGTTTTGCCTCCTCTCCTGGTGCCCACAGCATCTTGTCCCTGCTCTGGGCTTAGTCCCCCCTGCAGGAACCTTTCCCACCTGCCATGTGTCCTCTGGGGAGCTGGCAGAGACACAGGTGCACTAGGGCAGGAAGGGTCCGGAGAGACCTTTCAGGACATCTAGAGAAAGAGGATCAGAGAAGGGAAGTGACTTTCTTAAGGTCACACAGCTGGTTAGGGTGGAGCCATAGCGAGCACTAGAGTTGCTGCCTCTTCCGTGCCATTGCACCCGCCAGTGCTGTCTCCTGCTTTCTCCTGTGGCCCCCTCCTTGAGCGAGGCTGCCTTTAATCCTCTGAGCTTTTGACGTATTTTAAAATAATAATAACAACAGCTTTAACAAAAGCAGCCATCATAGATTGAGTTCCTATTCTGTGCCAAAGACTAGGCTGGGGCTTTTTATGCATGTTGCTGACCCTTACAACAATCCAGCAGGTAGAAGGGTATTAGGAGTAGCCCAACTTTACAGATGAATGAGGCCACACAGGTTAGCAGTGGAGAAGGTAGCTGGTCTCACTGCAGAGCGGCCCATCCTCCCCTACCCGGCATCATGAAGATGGAACCCAGGAGCATGTCCTTATTCCCCAAGTTGATTTCCTGATCTCTGCTGGATGGAGGGTGATGAGTACCCCTCACTTAGCACTCACGCTGAGCATCTCAGGAGGTTTAACAAATGCACAATTTTGCTCAGCAGAATGGAGGCAGGAGGTGTGGCATTTGAGAAGGAGATGGTGGTGATGAGAGCTCAGTAGACACACTTGATATCCCAAGCTTACTTCTGTAGGGGTGAGACCTGGTAATGAAATGAGTGAACTTTAGGAGTATTGTAGAGTGTGCATTTTGCTAATTTAGTTACAATCAGCGTTCTGGTTCTGGCTTTGATTTCTTTTGCATATGACTTTTATTGCAGCAAGCTTCTCTCAGCCTGTTCTCATTAAATCTCAAATTAAGCAAGAATCCCAGCAGGAAGAGAGCAGCTCCGGGAGACCAGGCCCTGCTCTTTCACACTGTGTGTGTGCGATTGAGTGTGTTTATTTGATTTGATCTGTGTATCTGTATGTGTGCATTGTGTCCCCTTTTAAGAAAATTTAAAAATAACTCTCTGCCAAAGATGTGGGCACTTGATGTTGTGTTGCTGAGCAGACAAGCTCCTCCCACCCATGGTCTGCTGCTCTGCTGATGTGGCCTGGCTGACGTGGGCAGCTTATCTGCCTGAAGAAGCCCCGACCCTCCTTTAATGTGTTTTCCGAGAGGAAAGGCCCAGAAAGCCATGGGAAAGGAGAGGCTGCCAGGTGGCTCAGGGAAGAACTCAGTTGTGGGGGACAGGATGGGGCTGGCTTTGCATGCTTCCATGTGGGAACCCAGGGACCTGGATCCAAATTGCCTGGACATGCCAGCAGGAAACCCAGGGAGTATACCCAGGACAGGGTGATTATGCCCATTCTGCAGCCAGGAAGACTGAGAATCAAAGAATAGAAAGAATGCACAAGTTACATGCCAGGTTTAGAGCTGGGAGTAGCATCGATGTGTCTGGAGCCAAATACCTAGAGGCCCTAGAGATTTGTTATAGCGTGACCTGTTCACCTGCTCCTTTCCTTATGTTCTCTCTCTAAAGTTCTCAGGATTCCTTCCCTATACAACAAAATTAAGCATGTTGTCATTTGGAAGTGACTTCTTATGATTTTCTAACCTGAATTTCTATTCACTCATGCATTCCACAAACATTTATTGGAAACTTACTACATGCTCACCAACATTGTAGGCATTGGGGATATAGCGGCGAGTGAAACACACAGGACCTGTGACCTGGCCTGGCTTGTGTTTCCGGGGGGAGACAGCTGTGAATCACGTGACCACACGACTGCAGACTGCCGACTGTGATGTGTGGGATGAAGAAAACAAAGGATTTGATGAGTGCTTCTAACATGGGACTTGGCCTGGTCCCAGGGAGACAGAAATCTGTGGTCACTGTTTCCAATCAGCCATTTTGTACTTGGGCGAATGTTTTGTTTTTGTTTTTGAGCCCAAGTATAGGAATTTAAAAATTGTTTTTCCTTTAAATGTCCCTCAAGCTCCAGTCCATTTGCTGATCTTTCAGGATGATAGTTAACATCCAATGTGTTAGCTGTCCCTGCCTGCTTAGTGTAACCCACAGGTTTGATACCTTCCATGTTTTTGTCCAAATCATTGTGTTGGTTCTGTCCGATTCAAAATGCCTTTCCAGTCCTGTTGCGCACCAGAGACTTCTGTCTAAGAAGACTGAGATCTGGATTCACTTCCATTCCGCAGTGGTGAGCAGCATTGTTTTTGTGTGCTCATTTCTTCCTTTATTAGCCATAAAATATTCTAATATCACCATATGCAAGGTCTTCCAGAGTCTGGGGTATACATTCAGTCTTGGCCAAGGGCTTAATTGGCTTAAAGGTATTCTTGTCATCATTGTCTGTCTCAGGCTTCAAACCTCTCTGGTCCACATGTTCAGTTGTTCTCTTTGAAAGAAAAGAAGGAATCAAATTAGGTCTTGAATTATGCTCTTCCTCACCTGTTCCTTAAAGTTGCACACTGGTACTTACATAAAACAACTTTTTCCTTTCCTCTTGTGTATTTTAAGGACACAAATGAGAGTAGTTGGTAATGGGGAGAGTAGGGAGATAGGCTAAAGTGGTGGTTCTCAAAGTGTGCCCTGGGGACCTTTGGGGGTCGCTGGATGAGGTCCAAGTGACTTTTGTAAGAAGACATCATTTGCTTTTTTTCACTTTCATTGTCTCTCAAGTGTACAGTAGAGTTTTCCAGCAGCTATTGAATACTGTGCTGTCACAACAGACTGGATGCAAAAATAGATATGAAAATCTAGCCCTCTTAAGCCAGACATTAAAGAAATTTGCAAAAATGAACTACAACTCTTTCCACTCAACTATTTTTTTGTTTTGGAAAATACATTTTTCTCTTAAAAATGTTATGTTAACATATAATGGGCTTATTGATATTTTAAAATGAATTAATATTTCCAAGTTTTGATTTCTAATACAGTAAATATTGGTAGCAATAACTCACAAACAAAAGCTCTTTGGAATCCTCAATAATTTTTAGATGCATAAAGGGCCCCCATGCTGAGAACAAAGAGTTGGAGAGTTGCTGAGCTAGAGGGTAGGGGGGCCTCCTAGCTGTTGGGGGAATACTAGCTCCTCAAGAATCAGACATGACCCAATGGAAGAGCTTAAATTCATGGCATTGCTGATTCAGATGTCCATGGTCTGTCCCAAGGTGTGAGTTGCATAGGATGAGCGATTCCTTTGGAACTGTGAAAATATCTTCTCTTCTCCAGGGGAGAAGGTCTGGATGGGGCATCACCCTGCTGCCTCATTTTAGAGGTGTGCTCCAACGGTACTTCCTGGGGCTCTCGAGGGCCACTGGACTAGCACGGCAAGGTCTTGAGCTCAACGTGACCACCGTCTGTGGAGGCTGGCTCAAGTCTCAGCCCAATTCCTTACAAGAACCACAGCACAGGAGTTCTCACTCAGTTCATCTATTCTCTGAGCTTGCCTCCCACTCTAGGGATCATAAACAGGGCTTCTTCAGCTTAAGGAAGAAAGAGCTGGGTCTCAGGAGGCAAATGTCTCACGAGCACTGGGTGGTAATCCCAGGCCAGATGTGCCAAGGGTTGGAGTAGCGTTCCAGGCCAGATGTGGAGTTGGGAGACTGCCCAGCCCCTCCAAGTGCTCAGCTCTCTGCTTGACAGGGTCCTCCTCTTGCTCCACACTCAGATTAGAATCTGTAGCTTCAGACAAGTGAAAACCTGTGAGCTTCCACCTTGGCTCCCCCAGGACTCCATTGAGCGCCTCCGCAGAGGCAGCCAGAGGTTTCAAAGGTCACCCCAGCTGGGCGGATTAGAACAACAGATCTCCTGGACCGGGTGAAGTTGGCTGCCCAGTGGAAGGCAAGTTGCAACATCTGCGAGCAGAGTCAGAACAAAAGCCCCTTAACTTTTTCGGTCTGGCCCTGAGCTCTGTGGCGTCCCTAGCTCTCCTCCACTCTCAGTTCTCCGCTGGACCTTGGACAGGATTTTCTGCAGTACAGTGGTGAAGCGTGGCTGCCGCACGTCCTGACTCATGTGACAGCTGCTGGGGAAGAGGCCACGGTAAGGTGTGTCCCATTCACTGGTGTGTGGCCCTGCCCTGCTTTGCTCCGGTGGGTCACTGGCAAGTCAGCCTGGCACAGCCGAGGAGCAGCTCACTCCGGGATTAGGAGTGATGAGGGAATTTGTCAGGATTTGAGTGCATTGCAGAGAGGATTAAGGTGGGGAGAGTGGAGCTGTCAGTGCTGGGGGGCACTTGCAAATGGGCTGTTTGGTGGCCTCTGATGTGTACCGTTGGAGGGGGGTTCATGGCTAACTTCAAAGCCTGCCTGGGAGCCCCTCCTTGGAGGAGAGGTATGGTATTTCCACAATTCCCTGTAAACTGATGAGGTATTTAAAGACAACGATCATTTAAAGTGTGTACACATTGGGTAGGGAAGGGGACACTGGCTTCTCTAAACTTGTTCTGCCATATAACTTGATCCCCGACTTTTTACTTTTTTCTAGATCTTTTTGCCTTCGAGTTGTAATCTCTTTTGGCTGTAGTTGAAAGTGTTCCTTTCTAGGTTCAAAGATGATTTAAAGTGCTTTTGATCAAATTAAAGTCAAATTAACTCAATGCTGCTTCAAATGGTTAATAAATTATGTTGCTTGTGAAAACCTTATTGGAGGTGGGCTTTGGGCCAAAAATCATTGCAGGGGGTCAGGGAGGAGGAGCTCCTAGCTCTTGGACCACTGTTCTTTTTGACCCCCTCCCCTGTTTTTTCTCTTATTTACAGAGACATAAGTAAGTAATCTGCATTTAACTTGTATTGAATGAGACCCCCCCAGCCAGTGTGTTTGAGTCTAGCCACTGAGCGTCACTCTGACAATAGAGAAATTATTGCAGAAATCACCCAGCCTGTCTGGTTTTCTTTATTGGAATACAATCAACAGGCTTGACAAGGGATTAGAGAGGAACAAGGATGGTTTGGTTTGATTTATTTTATTATTAATTTTTTTTTCTGATAGAGCATTCCAAATATGTCAGTTACCATTAATCATGTGGCAGGAATCTGTTTATGCTGAGGATGGCAGGGGGTGGGGCGATGGGCTGCCGGTGAGCAGAGCTGTTTGGTGTGACCGACCAGCTTGGGACTGGGCCCTGGTCCTGCCTGCGCGATAGCTGAGTGACTCTCCCTGGGAGCCACCTCCAGGGGACTGGACGTTTCCTTGCTGTACTGACTTGCCTGGTCCATTTCGAACCTGAAGCCAGGCCTCTCTTAGGGATGGAAGACTCCTGTCTAACACGTTCTTGAGGACAAGCAGGGTCCTTTTGATGAAAGCATGTGGGGCTTTCAGGAGGTGTAGATGGATTTCAGATCTTAGATAAAGAGGATTTATAGGAGGATCCTGGGCCTGATCTCGCCACTCCCAGTCCAGATGCTCTGAAAGCAGAGGTGGAGAAGAGTCTTGTGTCCTCCAAAGCCAGGCCTGAGAGCAGGAGGAGGAAACACTGCCTGCCCCGCTTCCTCTCTGCAGCTCCCAAGCCTCTGCCTACTGCATCTCCTGTTACTGGGGATAGCAGGAAACTACTCATCTGGGCTTCGGGGGCCTCCAGGAAGCCAGTGGGGTGTGACTTTGCAGTCAGACCTTGGTTTGGTTTCCACTTCTTAGCTATGTGAACTTGAACAAGCATAGGTGACTTTCTGAGCCGTGGGGTCCTTATTCGTGAAAGGGTGATAATCAGAACTGCCCTGCAGGACTGTTGGGACTGAACGAGATGGTGCCCAGCACAGTGTCGGGCAGGTACACCTTGCTCATTAAATGGTGCTGCCAGTGTGGACACGAAGGTGCTGCAGGAAGCTGCCCAGCGAACTCAGGCCCTTCTCACAGAATTCTGCCGTCTGCCTCCTGCTGCTGTCATCCAGGAATCCCACTCAGATACCCTCGTGGGAAGAGAGTCGGGCTGGCTTGGCCTTCCTGCTGTCCTGGTGAAAGCGTCTGTGTCTTCAGGGTGGGGAGACTGGCTTCCCTTTGGGAACTGGATGAAGAGAATGCTGACAACTACCATTATCGAACGCCTTTTATGCTGGTCCATGTGTTTTGTAGTCACTCTTATTCAAATCCTCTCTTCAACCTTGTGAGGTTGATATTATTGTTCCATCTGACAGAAAAGGGAACTGAGGCCAAGAGAGTTGAAGTACCTTGGCCAGCCCACAGCTGGAAAGCAGCAGTGCCCCTGGATTTGCAGCAGGGTCGCAAAAGTCTGATCCTCATGATCCTTATCCCCCTGCACCCCAGTCCTCTGCCTGGGCCTGGCTGCACAGCGTGTATCCGTCACCTCGCCTCAGGGGCAGCGGAGGAGGACAGGGAACAGTGTTCCCTCTGGCGTGTGGTCCTGGGTAGCTGTGCAGCGTACCGGAGCCCCATCCTTCCCTACCCTGTTACCACACAAACACACACACCCCACACATGTAATTGCTCCCTGCTGTATACCTAGTGGCTGGTTTGGCACATGGTAGCTGTTCAATAAATAAATACGTATTTTTATCAGTTGGTTTTAATTTTAACTACTTTGTTATGAAATAGTGTCATAAATAGTCAATAAATATATTTTGAGTGAATGAACTTACCTGATTCTTACCATTCAAATCATACCATGACTCTAAAGTAATTCTGCAAACATACACACAAACATAATGATAAAAATCTGGCAAAATGTCAATTGTTCAATGTAGATGGTGGGTATTTGGGGTGCTCATTTTATCATTCTTTCTACTTTTCTGTATGTTTGAAATTTTCTATAATTTTTTTAATTGAAAATTTCTTTGTCATCGAATTCACGTAATTATTTTCCTTGTAAATATATACTCATATAACTGCCTGGTATTCCGCTGTATTTAACCAATTCTCCCTGTTGGATATTTAACTGGATTGTTAAAAATATATCTAGTTTTTTTCTATAAATAAGGCAATTGATATTCTTATAAATAAATTTGGGGCCGTATCTTTGATTCCTTTCCAATAATATATTTCTAAATGTAGGATTATTAGAAAAAGAGATGGACATGTTTTTTCAGAATCTTTTTGCCAAATGGCTTTCAAGAAAGATTATACCAATTTATATTCCCTGTAGGAGGGTATGAGCATACCCTTCTCACCCTGGTCTCATCAGTATTGTGTGTTCTCATTCTTTTTAAATGTCAGTTTGGATAGTTTAAAGAAATAATAGCTTGTTCTTAATTTTCACTGTTGGGTCATCATTGGGGCCAGAAAGTGCTCATGTGTCTATTGGTCATGGATCTATCATCTCTGGACTGCCCAAGTCACATCATCTGTTCATTTGTCTGTCAGGCTGTTTTCTTCTTATATGTAAAGTTTCTCAGTCCTTTGTTTTTGTGCAAGCATTTTATCCTAGATTATCATCCATTTTTTATGTTGTTGATGGTATGTTTCGACACACAGAAAATCTTAAATTCTATATGTATGCGGTGGCAGCTCTCAACTTTCTTCTTTGGTCTCCCAGCTTCAAGGCCCCTTCCCCACCAGCCAGCTCGGAGCTGTCACAAGAGGCGAGAGGGCCCAGTGGGTAAGAATAGGGGATCCAGTGCCAGATACCTGGGTTTAAATAATAGTTATGCCCCCTACTAAATGCGTGAACTTGTACAAATTTCTTTCTTTAATTGGTTGCTTTATTTATTTATTTAAAAATATTAAGGCAGTATAAAAGTTTTTGTTACGTGGATATACTCTATAGCAGGGCTTTCAGAGTGCCTGCCACCAGAACAGTGTTCCTTAGACAAATTTCTTGATGTCACTGTGCCTCAGGTTTCTAATCCGTAAGATGGGGATGGTGACCTTATCTATCTCATAGTGTTGTTGTATGGTTATAAAGCACAAAAGTAAGCATACTTTCCAAAAGATGCATCATAATCTGTTATCTTTCAGTAGAAAGAAGAGTTCAACAGGAAAGTTCTTATCATCATGAACTAACAAATTTGTTATGAAAATGTGTTTCTTTGCGTATTGGTATCTGTAAGGAAAAGTTGGACCATCTGGCTCTAAAACACAAATGTAAACATGGTTCTAAACAATGTGTCATAATCTGTTTTCTTTTAGTGAATGGAAGCGTTTGACAAGAAAACTTCATGATGTTATGAACTGACAAATGTGTTATGAAAACAGGTTTCTTTGCATTTTGGTAGCTATGCAGACAAGTATTACAGAATATATGGCTATAAAACAGAAATGTAAGCATACTTTCCAATAAGCAAGCTATTTATTATTTTTAAAGTGCTTAGAAGAGCTCCCCACATATAGTAAGTGCTACATAAGTGTTTGCTTTTATTGTTACTTACTTGCAGTGAGCCTGTGAGTCTTTTCATTTGGAAAGGAATTTTGTTTGCAAAGCTAATACCTTGTCAGTGAAAGAGAAAGCTGGTTTTATCAAGCAGAGGATGTGCCCTGTTACAACCAAACCTAGTCACTTTGTTACTTTAACTTGAACTTCAAAAGATATATCCCGTTTTATTTTTGTTAGATATTATTAAATTTAAATAAGCTAATTATATGCTCCAGAGAGCACTGTTATTTTGTGTCAGTTTACCTGACACACAGCATAGGATTTAAGTGTGTGACTGGACAGCCAAAGAAAATGAATAGAAAAGCAAAAGCTAGGAATACGGTTTCTCTTCAGTCAGCAGATGTTTGTCCTATGCCTGGGCACCAGGGATTTCATGGTAAGATGTGGTCCTCAACCTAGGGCTGTCCCAGCCTGGTAAGGCTCCCACCTGGATTTGGAACCTGCCACAGGGATACTTAGGGGGTATTTCAGGTGATGACAGTGGGTGTCCAGTGACCCTGACTGGAATCTGACTGCCCAGCTTCTCTCAACTGCAGCCGTTTCCCGGCCTGGTTCTCCAGCCTTTCCTATGGATTTTGGAAGTTCCCCTCCCACCCCGCCATCTTTTCAACAAATCCCTTCTGTGTTTATGAGAACCAGAGCCAGTTTCTGTTGTTTGCAACGAAGAACTCAGATTCGTACCTGTAATAATTCCACTTTTGGAATCAGTTCTAAGGAAATCATCAGGAATTCAAACATAGATTTAGGCACAAATAGGCTCATCGCAGGGTTTATTATCATAAAAGATTTAGAAACCATCCAAATGACCAGGAATAGGGTGGTAGTTATGTAAGTTATACATCCATACGATGGAATATTTTAAAATCAGATTTCTTGAAAGCAACTTTCCCCCTTATTTTAAGAAAAGTTGTGGGAGAAGAAAAGGAAACAGCTATATATATATAATATACTTTCAGCTGTGTAAAATATGTTTTTCTATATTCGTAGGAACAAAATTGGAGGGAGATGCCCCACGATTCTGTGTAATAGAAGTATGGATATTTTCACGTTTTTTCCTTTAGGCTGTGTAGCATGGCCAAAAGAGCTCTAGAGGCTAATAAATCTGGGTTCAACCTCCAGTTCCGCCACTCGATAGCTGTGTAATGGGGAAGTTTTTCCCCCTGTCTGAGCTCACCTTTTTCATTTGCAAAATGATGACTATACCTGTTTCATGGGCTTGTTCTGAGGAGTAAAACAAATGAGATAATGTATCAAGTGCTTGATACAGTGTCTGGAACAGAGTGGGTGTTTGATAAATGGTAGTTTATTATTTTACCATGTTGATATTTTCCAGGTTCGAAGTGTATTTAAAGTTGAGAATAGACAAACATCACAGAAGAGTTGAACGCTGCTGCAGTGGGTAGTCATCTATTACTCCTCATGTCAGCCCCTTTGTACCCGCTAACCTTGCCAGCTCCGAGCCACACCTTGTCTAGTCCCCACTGGGCCCTGGACCAGGAGCCGGGCTCGAGGTGTTCTTGCCAGTGATGCCACATTTTGCTCTGACTCCTGGGGCGAGGGACTTGCCTTCTCTGGGCGTCAGTTATAAAGGGAGGAGTTAGCCCGGATGATCTCAAACGCCTCCCTTCTCTGGCGATCCGTGACCTTTGAGCCTTTGTCACAATCGCATCCCCAGAGGTGGGGTGTCCTGCCTGGCCTGCGTTCTTCCCTTCACTCAACTAAAAACCCTCACCCCACCTCACCCAAGGTCCTTGCCATATTAACCCCAAACGACCTTCCTTTCTTGGAGTGTGGATCCCGGTTTTCTGTAGCCCATGAGCGTGCGCATTTCAGGCAAAAGCAGCTATTGCCGTCTACCATGGTGCTTAGTGTAACTGTTGACTCGAAGGATTAATAACTGTTAATACAGATTTTAGGTAGCTATTGTAAAAACTCTGAAAACCGTCCAGGTTCCCTGTTCTCTCCAGCTGCCCCTTTCCTGGAGGAAGAGCACAGTGAAAAGATGAAAATTCTCCGTGGGGCTTTGAGGAGGCAGGCATGGCCCTGAGCTGGGTCTGGGATGCCTCGTTCCCAGAGGAGTCCTAAGTGGACACTGACCTACCTGGGCCCCTGCTCCACAAGAAACCCACTCCAGCAGGCCGGGCCTGCCCGTGCCTGAAGGGAAGACAGGACTGTGCTCTGTCTGATCTGACCTGGTCCTCTTCCTTCCTTCCTTCCTGCAGACCATGGGGGATGTGAAGCTGGTCGCCTCATCGCACGCTTCCAAAACGTCCCTCAGTGTGGACCCCTCGAGAGTCGGCTCCGTGCCCCTGACCGAGGCCCCTGCTTTCACTTTGCCCCCTCGGAACCTCTGCATCAAAGAAGGAGCCACCGCCAAGTTTGAAGGGAGGGTAAGAGCGTGGCTGGCTGGGGAGGCTTTGGGGGATGGGCGGGGGCCGTCGCTCCTCGAGCCTTTTCCTCCACTGTCTGGACCTAACAGAAGTCCTGATTTTCTTTTCAACCCTCATGTAACGTGAATATATGCCACTTTTCTCTCTTTCTTTTGTTTATGGTGGGCTTTGGTCTGCGTTGGAGAACTCGGGGCAGGGGACGCGTGGGGATGGCGAGAGACATTGCAAGTTGACTGTCCTGCAATGTTTTGCTGTGAACATGGGTCGTGTTCTGGGTACATGCTACCTAATTCTAGAAGAACACGTCGGCCGGTGGCAGGAAGAAAACAGCGTGGGTTTAAATATGTGCCCTCAAATCTAGACAACTGAGAATTGTCTGTGATTTTTCTCTCAACTTTTCCCTGGAGGGAGTGTTTAGCTAGATGTTCTTCTAGCATCCACTTGGTACCCCCAGAGTAGGAGGTGGGAGAAAGGACCCCTTACTTCAGTCCTGTCACCTTTTGCAAATGAATATCGGTCTCTTGCCCTTACTGGGCCTCCATTTCTTCTTCTGCAAATGGGCATAATAATTTCTTGTCTACCTTGCACTAAAAGGAGAAGAAGATGAGAATATTGAAGCATAGCTGCAAGAATATCTAATGTTATGCCCAATCAGAAGGACTTTTAGGAAGCTGCCAGCTCAGGCCACCCAGACATCAAATCAGCTTGACACGGAGATGTATATGGTCGTCAGGGAGGTTGACAAATAATATCTGTCCTGGGATTAATCACAGGGGATCTACCCCAGGAAATGCTTTAGAAGCTAGAAGGCTTTCACCTGAGCACTTGCAAAGGGCAACCGATAGAGGAATTCCTAAATTGTACTATGACTTTACAGTTTATGAGTGAGCTCCTGAAAGCTTGAGCCAGGGGCAGACGTATGACTCTTTTTAGATGACGCTGGACTCTACCTTTGTTTAAGTAGCAGGTTTGGCTAATGGTTTTCTGGACAATGTGCAGGGGTTGCCACCTTGAAAGTGGCCTAGGCCGCAATGAGTTGTCTGTCGTGCGCAGACCGGGGTAGTTGAGACTGTTTGCCGATGGTGCTGACCTAGCAGTGCTTTCCTGTCTTTCACCTGAAGCAGATTGTGGGGGAGTGTGGTGTTCCTGAGGGGTCTGTTTCTTCTCTCTGGGCACTACCAGGATGAGGGCCCTTTTCTGTGGCCCTGACTTTGGTCTTTCCATCCTCTTCCTCATAGCTAGCAGGAAAGAAGCAACAGGAAGAAACCTGGGGGTTCATAAATTTCTTAGATGACCATAAAAAGGCATAAAGTATTGATTAATGCTGCAACATGGATGAACCTTGAGAACATCACGCTAAGTGAAAGAAGCCAGACGCAAAAGGCCACGTATTGTGTGATTCCATTTATATGAAATCTCCAAAACGGGAATATGTATGGTGACAGAAAGTAGATGTGGTTGCCAGGGCCTAGGGGAAGAGAGGGATGGGGAGTGACTGCCAGTAAGTATGGGATTTCTTTTGGGGATGATGAAAATGTTCTGGAATTAGATAGTGGTGGTGTTTATACAACTCTTTGAATATATAGTACCTATAAAACACTGAATTTTACACTTAACAATTAAAAACAAACATCTAAGAAATGGCTTAGACAGCAAAATGGATCTTATCTCCACACCCCCCCTCCTGCCACACTGCTCCCGAGAGAAGAGCTCCTCCTCAATTCAGACAAACATGGAGAGGAAGAAAGGGCTTAGCTTCCCTATAGTGTGATGATGCCTTTGCTTCCTTTGCTGACTTTGGAGTCATGAAGGAACCATGCCTTTGCGATGCTGAATTTGGAAACTTCATAGACAGAGCACTGGCCAGGAGTCAGCACACTGGAGTTCTGTGATGCCCAGTATCCTCTGATTGGCAAGTCATCCCTTCTATGAATCTAAGGTTTCCTTATCTGAAAAATACCAACTGGTTGTTTCCATATTTCTGGCCCACAGGATGTCAAAAGAAAAGTTGATAGGTAGTAAAAGTACTTCATAAAGTCAAAAAGTATATCATAGTAAATATAGTATTTTTCTTAATGAGCTGAAAAATAGCATAAATTTAACCATTTTAAAGTGAATAATTCACAGTCATTTAATGTATTCACAATGTTGACTGCAGTATTCGTAAAATATAGCATTCCCTACATGACAATTTTATTTTTCTTATATTGATGAGACCTTGTATATTGCACGTGAACTATACATCAAAATGCATGTGTTCCTTAGGAGTCAGACCGCAGTGCTGCTTTGCTACTCAGCCCTGACTGGAATTAACACCACCTGGCAGCTTACTGGTGTAGAGTACGTACAGAGGGAAGACCATCCCAGAGAGATGTTCAGGCAGAGTGTCTGGCTAACTTGTAGAAGGAAACGCAGAGGGAGAGACTATAAAAGAAAGCGCTCTGTAAACCACTGCGCCTCAAGTGTGTATGGTTAGTGTAGCGAAGACACTGCTGCATCAGGGAAGAGCCACCTCATATGATCCCAGAATAAGGAAGCTGGTGGTTTTGATACCAAAGGTGAAGTTGAACAGGGGATGTTCCTGACCGGGCGCCCTCAGAGAAGTAAAAAAGTAAGGTGGCGTCAGCCTGGAGTGATGGTGCTTTGAGCAAGAGTTGCTGGTTGTGAGACTGGGCTCCACACACTCCAAATGTGCAGTTCCGGCCCCCCCCCGGGGCACAGTCAGTGGTGATCTGCCTCCCACACATGCTGACCTTCACCGCCGGGGCCACCTGACCTTGCCTGCAGTGGAGCCCTCTCTCTGGGTCCCAGGACACATCCTGGTCTAGGTGCTTATTCTGCACCAAACCAGTCCTGGGGTCAGTCTCAGGATGACCTTTAAAAAGTGAGTAACTTTTTAAAATTCTATCCTCAAGCTACTTCTCAGGCGCAGGCTGGTCCCCATCATGGCTGGCGGGAATCCTTCTTCCTTGACGCTGCCCACAGCCCCTCTGCCTGCTCCCTCCCCTCTGCTCTGCAAGTTGCCACCACCAGTGAAGGGTCCTAGGACCTCCCAGCTTCTTCTGAAGGGGGCTCAGGGACCCTCTTATCACTAAAAAACACAGTGGACACCCCAGATGTAAGAAAATTATAAAGGTTTGTTTCCCACCACGTTCTGAGCTGCTAATGGGAAGCTGGTTCAAACTTATGCTTTGGTTTTTATTCCTAAATAGGTAAAAACTTTTGCCTACTCTGCCCCCATTTCTGTTTTGTGCCTATTTTTATGCAAAGGACTTAATGAACCCCTCCTTCCAATAAAGCTCCTCTCTCTAGCAAGAAGACTTGGTGACATTAAGGTGGAACTATAGGTGCCCTCTTATGGTTCATGCCTTTTTCTGAGAAGCTATAAATTATGAGATATTCATCTCTGTGAGTCTCAGTCCCTCACATCCTTTGGAGCTTTTCCACCTTGTGGCAGATAAGTTGGGCAGCCCATAACCCATTACCAATCCCATTTGCACTTGCCCTTTTCTATGCTGGGGGCAAATGTAGAGACTTCTTTTGCAGCTAAGGGTAGCCTCGTCACACATTCACACTGAAGTTAGCTAGGAAGCTTCTGGGAAAACTCTTGCTGTTCTGATTAAATGAAGGAAAAAAAGACATCACTGGTGCTTCCATATTATACCCCTCCCCTGCTTCCTGCCTTGAATACATATGTAATGGCTGGTGCTCAGGCAACCATATTAGAGCCATGAGGCAGCAGCTAGCACACTGAGGATTGGTTGAGGGCAGGGAGGAGTATAAAGACTAGCAGCTAGAAGAGATAAGAATTCTGAGGCTTAAAGGCTTTCCCAGATAAGATCTGTGGCTGCAGTTGTTCACACAGGAAATTTTACAAAAAGTATTCTTCACTAATAAATACCTAATGAGATGCATGTGGAGATAGTATCTCCTTAAATGATGGGAATAAATAGGGGAGAAGACATAGCAGAGAGAGAACTAAAAACTCAGACCCTTACCAAATATGCTAAGAGCAATGGGGATGCCTTATTCTGAGTTGAGTGTGGCCTGTAGTTAAGTCATTCTAGAGGAATTCATTTCTCCCTGGCTGTGGCCATTTGGCTTAAACCAACAGGGTCTAGGGTTTATGAGAGGAAGTCAATCACATGGGGTAAAGTGGTGAGTTAATGTCATTATGAAGCAACTATTAATACTCTTTGATTAGGGTCTACTGATTTGGCCTAAGCCTCCTCTTTTTTCTTTTCTTTTCTTTTTTTTTTTTTGGCTCTGCCAGCCCAAAGCTTGAGGAGATTATACTTTTAGAACTTGATAAAGCTCCTTATCTCGGGTACCACCTTTAGACCCAGGCAAGCCCCTGCCCTGAGCCCACAATGTAGAAACCTCTGTTCCTTCATCCAGCTGTACCCTCTCCACTGAGCAAGGGATGTGTGTCCCCAAGGGGTATGCTCACTGGAGCCAACACTCCCCTGTGTACAGGGCACCCACGACCCACAGGTCGTCTACCAAATGGCCCTGAACACGCTTCCAAGGCCTGTGCGAGCCTCTTCCTGTGAGAATATGTTGCTAGGCCTGGGTGGCAGGGTCAAGGGGCAGCTGTTTGCAGGGGAGGACAGTAAGGTAGGTGAAACTCGGCCGTGGGGCTCTGTTGTCCACTCACGTGCCCAGGAGGACTCCCACAGTGCTGGAAGTGAGTAGGGTGGGAAGAGAAGTCACAGGACTGCACCACGCCTGCGGTTCCTGCCAGGCCTCGGGGAGGGCTGGGGGCTTCCGTGTGCAGATGGCCAGGGCCCCACAGATGCGGGGCTGGCTGAAGCGCCCCCAGCTGTTCTGTCACTCACACTGGTGGCTGCAGTGTTGATGGGCTGCTTTTCCCACCACGGAGTCAAGTATGAAAAGAGAGTGATGGTGAGAAAAATACTGAAATTACTGGAGATTTCTGCCCCTCTACCCTGGAATTTATTCTTATCAGAAAAAAGGCAGACATGGTGATAGGCCCTGGC